CCTATCTGAAATCAGACGTTTTGTTATTAGCTGATGTATTTGAAAACTTTCGAAAAACATGTCTTGAATATTATAAATTAGACCCATGCCACTATTTTACATCTCCTGGGTTGTCTTGGGATGCTATGTTAAAGATGACAGATATTAAATTAGAATTAATGACTGATATTGATATGTTTCAATTCATTGAAAAGGGTATGAGAGGAGGTGTTAGTTATATTTCTAATCGATATGGTAAAGCTAATAACAAATATGGAAACATTTGATAATAATAAACCATCAAAATATATAATGTATCTTGATGCTAACAATCTGTATGGATGGGCTATGTCACAAAACTTACCTACTGGTGGTTTCAAATGGTTAACTGATAAACAGATTAACAACATAAACCTTGCTAAATATCAAGCAGATAGTAAAAAGGTTTAATTTTAGAAGTTGATTTAGAATACCCTGAAGAACTACATGATTTACATAACGATTATCCTGTTGCACCAGAAAAGTTAAGGTAACTAGCGACATGTTGTCAAAATATTGTAAGACAATTGCTTCTAATTACAATATATCAACAGGTTTAGTAAGCAAACTTATTCCTACTTTAAAAATAAATACAAATATGTTTTACATTATAGAAATCTTCAACTATATTTAGATCTTGGGTTAAAGTTAAAAAAGTACATAGAGTACTTGAATTTAATCAATCTCCATGGTTGAAAAAATACATAGACTTTAATACTCAAAAAGAACTAATGCAAAAATTCTTTTGAAAAGACTTCTTCAAATTAATGAATAATTCGGTATTCGGTAAAACAATGGAAAACTTACGAAAAGAGTAGATGTTAGACTAGTAACTAATAAAAATAAATTATTAAAATTAGCTTCAAAACCTACTTATGTAAGTAGTAAAATCTTCAATGAGAACCTTGTGGCTGTGCATAAGATCAAAGAAACACTAACCCTTAACAGACCTGCATATGTTGGCATGTGTATCTTAGATTTAAGTAAAACGTTGATGTATGATTTTCATTACAATTATATCAAGAAGAAATATGGTGATAAAGCTAAACTTCTTTCACAGACACAGATAGTTTAACATATGAAATGAAACTGAAGATGTCTATCAAGATTTTGGGTTGATAAAGATAAATTTGATTTCAGTGATTACCCAGAAATACCATAAATATCATGATAAAACTAATAAAAAGTTATTGGTAAAATGAAAGATGAAGCTGCTGGAATAGTAGTTAAAGAATTTGTTGGTTTAAGAAGCAAGATGTATAGTTATATTAAAGATAATAATAAAGGAGATAAAAAGCTAAAGGAATTAAAAAAATATTATTAAGAGTGAAATAAAACATGAAGACTATAAAACAACACTATTTGAAAACAAACAAATGCATCATACAATGAAAACTATTAGAAGTGTAAACCATCAACTTAGTAGTTATGAAATTAATAAAGTATCACTCAGCTGTTTTGATGATAAACGATATATTAGATGATGGTGTAAACTTAGCCTTATGGTCATTATAATATCGGTTCAAATAACTAAATATTAACAAACAGTTATAATGTGTAGTAAGCATGTAGCGTAGGCCTCTGTTAAGTAATCATACATACCTGCTCCTCATGTTTGACTACATCACATAACAATTAGTAAAAACAATCAACAAAATTACCAAAACATTGTTAAACATTTAACAATTATTTTACGCTTGACTGACAAATAAAAACATATAGATTCCATAGTTTTTAAAGAGCATCTATGACATTGTTGCGCTCAAATTTCAGGCTTAGTTGCCTGTTCTCGCCAACACAACGATTTAAAAGATGCTTTATTAACACTGATTATTAAAGAATATTTCTACCACGCTTGAGTTTCAAGACCATTGTTAAAGACCACTAGTTAATCCAATATACCACGTAGACTATAAAGCGCGCTGCTACTGATATTTTAATAACATTTTATTATTAACACTAAATTATTAAAAATGCGCTGGTGACATGTGCTAGCTACATTAAACAACCATTATTAGAAGCATGCTAAGACACGCCTGACAGATTAAAAACATATAGATTCCAATATTTTTGAAAAGATGTTTTATTAACACTTGATTTCTAAAGACGGTTTTTGAAGAGCATTTTTAAGCCTCTGTTATTCTCGAATATTCTTCGAATATTCATCGAATCTACGGGGCCGCTCCAAATTTTCACTTCATGAAAATTTTTCCCCGCCGTCGCTCAAATTCTCGGGAATCCACCCTGCTCGAGCACTTCATGCTCTGCGCTGCCGAGGCCCTCTCCGAAACGATCTTGTTAACATTTGTTTGTAAAGACTGTTTGTAAATTTAAACATCTATATATTTCAAAAGATATAGATTCCATATTTTTAAACAATAGATTGTAAACTCAGTTTTACCCCCTTTGAACAATGACTTTTACACAGCTTTTACATGGCCTTTTACTGAGGGACGCCCCAGCTGAAACATGGCCTTTTTCACACTACTTTGAAACAATGATTTTTTTTACAGCTTTCTTTACATGACCTTTTTGCTGAGGGACGCCTTTTGAACCATGGTCTTATTTTACGCTTTTACAAAAATAGTTTTTACCCAAGGTCTATAAGTAGTATAGAACATAGGATAATAAGGTGCACTTTTAGTGCCCCGTATGTTCATAAACTTTTACTGAGCACAAACGAGCTACTGAAACAAGACAAAACTAATCCACATTGCCGAACATCACCGATCACAAAGCACAACATTGACTGGGACTCGGCAAAATGCATCACTTACAGTACTTGACTATAGACGACGGCTTACATTAGAAAGTTGGTATACCAACTTGGAACAAACCCTGAACAGATCACAGCATTTACTGGCACCTTACAAACGACTTATTCACAATACAAATAAACGATCAACTAAAACATTACACTTCAAACTAATTCACTGGTGACAATACACAATTGATTTTACCCACACTACCATAACTAAAACGTCACCTAAATCACACATCACAACTAAAAATAAAATATTTCACTTCACACTAATCCACAATGACAATACACATTTCCTGCACATTTCCTGTACACACAATACAATGACGTAAGAACCAGAAAACAAATACGGCTAACCTGACGTTTGCTCCTCATTTGACTCTGAAAATGTTTACCGCTAAGGTTGTCGAAACGTCAGTCAACAACAACAAAAACAGTCCTTCTCAGGACTTTATTAACCTGGACGATCATCATTTACAAACATATAACTTCTATACTCCGGGTTTCAAACCATTTTACTTTAAAAGTATTCATCTTTACTAAAATGTATTTTATATGTATTTTTGTATATATGTATGTTTGTTTATATGTATAAATGTTTTGAAAATTGGTAATCAGGCATTTAATATAAAATGAAAGTTTCTACGGATCGTTTGAAAATTTATCTTGTTAAGTTATACGACTCGTTGCTTCGACCCTAATCAGAATAGGGAATTACTATTTACAAGGTGCTTTTGACTTGTAGACGCGTAGAGCGTCCTAATTGGATAACGGTTGATTAATGTGATTGGATGGGGTGTAATGCGTTGCTATGGGTTTTGTTATTGTTAATATAATGTAAATAGTAACTTCCTCATTCTGATAAAGGCTCAAAGCAACGAGTCGAAAACTCAATAGAATAATTTTTAAACGATCCGGAGAAACTTTCATTTTATGTATTTATAAATGTATATGTGTTAATTATATGTATAATTGCAAATATTTCTCATCTTTTTTTGAAGTTCAATTTGAAGCTTGGTCATCTCTTTTCTGTGAAAGGAAAAAATCCAATAATTAAAATACATAAAACAAGATTTTAAGTCATGTTTCTAACCATTTTTTAAGTCAGGTATATCAAAGGAATCTTTTAGAAGACAATCATCCAAGAAATGATAAAGAAAGATTTTGTTTGGTACCTCTTGTTCTTCACATTTCACCTTGTAGTTGTCCACTTGCATTTGCAAGTGATCTATTTCTTTTTTTTTAAGTTGTATATTTTGTGGCCCATTTCAATTTTCACAGATAGAGCGATCCCTTAAACAACCAAATAAATTAAAATTAAAATTTCTTTGTAAACCAAAACAGAATCAACGATGCAGCTTCTTAAAGATAACTAGTAAGCATACTAACCGTTTATAATTCTAACTACTCTCAAAGTCGTAAAAAGATGAAAAGACCAGCCGCATCCTACATTAGTATTGTCACTGAAAGAAAAGATTTTAATAAGCAGGCACATATAGGAAGCCAATGACACTTCATAGCCCTACTAGCAGGATATGTTAGGGCTGCAGTAACATCTAGGGGCCTTGTGCTAACCACAGTCAATAATAAATGGAACATACTAGTTGCTAGAGGCATCAAAACACATTCTAGGGCCTACCTTTAACGGTTTATTTTAAGGGTATACTAATCAGAAGTGAAAGATGATATAAGCTGGAAACTCTATCACTAGAGCATATTTGGGATAATCGTTGATTAATAAGGGGCCTGGACAACTGTTATTGTTGTTTGTCATACGTAAACGAATGACCTTTGTATTTTGTCTCTCAATATATATTTTACAAGATCCTCATTTCATGAAATAGACTAAGTCTTATCTAAGACAAACAACAATTAAACGACCTATAACGACAGATGAGCAAAATACACACGAAAAGATCGAGACGATCCGACACTATAAGCAGTTCGAGACGCGACACGCCATCGGCAACAACACGGAACCTATTTGGCCAAGGGAAAAGCATATCTATCAACGAAGGCAGCCCTACAACCAAAGTAACGAGCAGCACCGATAAAGGCGTCGATAACACTCCCTTCTGACCCCGAGATAGAGAAAAATTGCAGTGTAAACACCACCATCTTATCGATCGCTGATATTTGGCACCATTTTTCCGGCGGCGTTGAATTACTTCGAGTACTTCCATCCACCAGAGACAGGTCGTAACCTTACGTGTGCGCGAAAATGCCGAAGTACAAATGCCCCTATCCAGACTGGGAATACGAGACAGAAGAAGCTGAGGACCAACTCGCAGCTGTATTATTACAATCCACTCGACTGGCGTTCACAATAACAACCAAGCGACAAACACACCCACGGGCATCAACGCCGCGGCGAAGATTAAAAAGGTCAGACGGCCAACCATATCCGCTGACGGGTCCAGTGAGGAATGGACGTATTTCCAAACACGCTGGCAGGTTATGTCGAAGCCACAAAAATAACCAGCGAAGACAAGGTCATGCCATTAGTCGAATGCTGCGTCAAAACGCTTCGTAAAGGCGTCACCAGAAACGCTGGCGGCACCCTCACAAACAAACCCATCGACGACGTCATGGCTGCCATCGGCGAACTCGCTGTACGAGAGGAAAATACGATGGTGGCCCGAATCAACACACAACGCCAGAACAGTTGGAATCGCCAACAGCGACATTCAACTAGACTTGGTCAGCGATAAAAATCAAAATAGGACACTGGAGGAGGCATTTCTGTTCATAGAAGCCAAAGAAGCCTTCAGAAGTTCGGCCACCCCTACTCAATAGCCAAGGCGTTGATGCTACAAAGCCAATATCGCCGCGGAAAACAATACAATACGACCCAGTGCGTGCAAACCAATAAAACTCGACCATGTTCCTACTGTAGCAAACATGGCCATGGTAGAAACGCCCCACCTAATCTCCGACGACAGGAATGCCCGGCTTACGGCAAAACATGCGATAGCTGCGGACGTCTTAACCACAACGCCTCCATGTGCAGAAGCATTGACAAAGCTAAGCGTCGGGACGCAAAACACTACGCAAACCGAGACCAAGAGAACGCAGTGTTTGACAGCCTGTGCATGACAAAAAGCCATCAGCATTGCAAAAACGGAATCCTGCTAGACCACCATACTTACAATGACATGAATGACCGTTGGGTGAAAAAACCGTAACAGTCCCAACCGTTCCTCCATATAATTGCGAGTGTCAACCAGAGGACTACACAGCCTTCGCGTACACCTGCATTATACAAGACATCGCTCAGTCACATTAAATGTAATGGCGGACATAGGATGCCAGAGCTGCCTTGCTAGCATGCATATAATGAAACGACTAGGACTACTTCAGAATGACCTGCTTCCAGTCACTATGCGCATGCACGCTGCTAACAACAATGGTATCGATATCATCGGTGCAGCCATCGTGAGACTCTGGTCAATCCAAAGACGGGTGTTGGAGAGCCGTCAAATTGTATATGTCACTCGTGACTTAAATAAACTCTTCCTCAGTCGTGGAGACATGTGACGCCCTGATAATCATCCCAAACAGCTTCCCCACCGTGGGACACAATGACAGTAGACATACATACAAACCAGTCTATTCACGTTGTAGCAGAACGCCCATCAAAGCGCACATGCGACTGCCAACGTCGCCAACTGCCGCTAACTAAACCCACAGTACTGCCATTCCCTGCAATCTGAGATAACCGAAAAAAATAGAAGACTGGCTGCTCCATCACTATAAGTCCAGCACGTGAAACACTTCCGAGCAACAACTGCCACTCATTGAAGGTCCGCCAATGCGACTCATGATTGACCCAAATCACAAAACCTAAAGCACACCATACACCAATCCCAATCCCTCTACACAGGCAGGACAAGGTGAAAGCTGGCCTTGACCAAGACGTGGCCCTCGGCGTGATTGAACCCGTCCCAATCGGCAAGCCTGTCACCTGGTGCCACAGGATGGTCATCTGTGCGAAACAGAACGGTAAACCCCGACGAACCGTTGACCTACAGGCACTAAATGCAAATGCCACTAGGGAGACCCACCACACCCAGAGCCCTTTCCACCAGGCCCGCTCTGTCCCCAATGGCAATAAGAAATCAGTTTTCGACTGCTGGAACGGTTATCACAGCGTTCCCCTTCACAGAGACGACAGACACCTCACCACCTTTATCACTGCCTGGGGTCGCTATCGGTATAAGTCAGTGCCACAAGAGCACATTGCCTCGGGGACGGTTACTCACGCCGTTTCGATGAGATTTATCACACATTCCAAACAATACCAAATGCATAGACGATACAACGTAGACGCAAACATAGACACAAAGGAAGACACATTTGAAATAGTCGTCAACTCATATAATAGTTATTTATGATAGTTAAAAAATATGTTGGCTAAACAAACAAACAAGATAAACCATGCAACCGACAACAGACATGCGCCAGATTGTTTTCATTCCCTACATTAAAATGTCAGACACTGTGCATGCTTTATTGGTCTTCTTCTAAATCATAACATAAATGTATAACCATGCCATAGTTTTTGTAGTAAGGACTAAGTAAGTCCCTGTATTCATCTTTGTAATGGTGACGAAACATTGCTCAAACATGTAGCTATATTGCAATCATTAAGGTTATAAAGTTATAAATAAAGTTATAAAGGTAATTTGTACGGGTAACTCTACAGTTTTTAATGATTGACATGTCTCTAGTCTGGCCAAGTGGTTTAGTTTACGGTACGTCAATCTTGCACACACAGGTTAAAATCCTCTGCGACAAGATCGACTTGTTTTCTTTCACTTAAAGTTATGAATTTCTCCAAAACCAAGAGTAATCGGTTTTGTGCGCGTAGCTCAACGAAGTAATTCAATCACTCCGTAATCGGTTGATAAAATAAATGCACTAAATCATCTTTCAGCCTATGACTAACTTTTATCCATGTAATAAGTTAGTCATAAACTGAATGAATAGACCCTAAATGAAATTCCAATCTCTTTGTCTTTGTAAACCTGCAGAGTAAAGACAGAAGAAAGTCATGTCGTTCATGCTAATTTTGCTCATGTGGATTAGGCATTCAAGCACAAACGTGTTTTACAGATAATCAATAGATTTACTTTGTTATTCACGTAGAAAGAACATACAGCTCTTCTATACCTATTGTTTTCAGAACTGAATTGGATAGATTTACTGTAATTTATTCATACACGAACAATTAATGATAAACAATGGAGTATTTGCCGGTTGCCAGTCTCCCTTAAATTTGCGCGGTTTTTGCAATGCATTCTGGGATCGCCAGGGGCAAACATTGTGTATCTTTATAAAATATCTTTTAGTAAAAGTCTATATTCAAATTATAATGGGAAAAGGGATCACTGTGCTGTTTATGGTTGTGATAACGATAGAAGATATCCTGAAAAATATATCGTTTTCGATCACGTTGGTATTCTTCGCTTTTTTTCTCCGAAAAACGCGAAAGACAAGAGTGCTTGGCAAAAGCTGATCAACAGGAAAAACTTCAAAGTCACTGCTAATACGAAGGTTTGTTCTAATCATTTTCTTGCTGGTTATCGATCCGAGGGCTGTCCCAATCCAACTTTGTATCTAAAGGATACCAATCAAAAGAAACCAGTAAACGACTACCGCCGAAAGATAGAAGCAAATCAAATATTCCGAAAAGAAAGAGACGAAAATTCTGTGTGAAGGCAGTACTGAGAAAAGCTTTGAGCATCAGGATAAGGCTTTTTTTGCTGCTGAAATCACTGCTCCTGAGCAGTGTACTGAGCCAGAGTCTGTGCACGGAGACAGTCCACATATAAATTGTACAACAGACTTGGATGTTACGTTATGATTATGATGATAGCCACAGCATTGAAAGTGATAAGCATGATCATTGACTGTTTTTTCCAGGTTGATGTTAAAACGTTGAAAAGAAATTTATTTATTGAACAAGCTATTTGCCAGAAGAATTGCTACCGCTACACTGGATTGTCACTAGAAAAGTTGAACTTAGTTTTCAGTTTGATTGAAGAGAAAGCAAAGAGTCTAAGGTATTGGAGAGGTTCTACTGATACAGCCACTGCCCAGTCTATTAAAGAGGGCATGTCTCAAGAGTATTGACACATTGGGAAGAATTCATTCTTACTCTTGTCAGGACACGAAAAGGATTTGATGTCATGTTTTTGCTGATACATTTTCTGTTTCAGCTAGTCATGTTTCCCGGATTTATACAACTTGGGTTAAATTCCTGTCTAACGAGCTTTCATTCCTTGTGCCTTGGCCAAGTAAGTCTGAAATCAAAGAGAAACTACCAAGGCGATTTCAGAAATTTTAAAAACTTAAGGATAATTATTGATTGCACAGAATTTTTTATACAAAAACCTAAGATACCTGGGAGCCAGAAAATCTCATGGAGCAGCTATAAGCATTGGAGCACTGCAAAACTCTTAGTTCGCATTACCCCTACTGGTATTTTTTCCTTCATCCCACCCCTTTGGACTGGTTCAATATCTGACAAGGAAATTGTCACCAACTCTGGTCTCATAAACTTGCTGGAAAAAGGAGATGGTGTCATGGCTGATAAGGGATTCCTTGTTAGAGATCTACTTGTGGTTAAGAAGTTCACCTTATTTCTCCTGCCTATTGTCGTGGACCAAGACTTTCCTCTCGTGGAACAACTCATACTCGGCGTGTGGCATCATTAAGATCTCATGTCAGAAAGGATATATTGAAACTAAAGCAATTTCAGATTTTGTCAGGAGTTATTCCATTAACATTAAAACCAGTTTTGGACAACATTTTGTTTATGTGTGCCGCTTTATGTAATTTAGGAAAGCGTGGTATAAAGTAATCCTTACATAATCTAAAATAAATTATACTTAATATTTTTATTTTGAAAACTATTATTTGTAAATATAAAATTTTATCATTGTATATATTTCAATAAAAACTACTAATAATATAATTCTTATAGAAACACAGTTTTAAATACATCACTCAGAAGTCAGCATCAAATGTTATTTCTACAATATCAATTCCTTTTCTGTATATACAATAAAATCCATTTGTCGATTTGACTTATATACATACATTTGGACTTGAAAGTAATGTAAATGGTTCCTTTTCAACACTTTCTTCCCACTATCATTAGTTTTCCCACCAATAGCTGTTGAGAAAAATGCAGATTTGGGATCCATATTCTTGCATGTTAGAGGGCACTTAATTTCAAGTGTCCTTGAGCCTAACATTCATTGGCATATTCCATCCAAACTCACTCCCATCCATAAATTTTTGGGGTCAACAAGCAACCCAGGTTCTTCTATTTTAACTTTTTCATGCTTCTTTGTACGTAGTCTCTTATAAAGATACAGAGCCTCTTTTTCTTTGTCTAGTCCATATTGCATAGCATTTGAGTTTATCAAACTGTTCTTGTCTTCCAAAAAATTAGCAACAGTTTTTGATAAATCAGCAGAAGGGGTGCGCTCTTTTGATTTTTGTCTAGTTAATAAATAGCTGACTTTTTGCCTGTTACCATGGCATGTCTCATTTTATGCCATTCTTCATTTTTGGATTGTCCTTTTGTTGCAGCTGAAATGAACAATTGTTCTTCTTCAGTGCATTTTAATGTGCTAATGAAGATATCACAGGCTTTCTTCACTCTTTTTTTAATCAAATGTTGATTTTCCCTTGCAATTATTTTAGCTTTTGTTTCTATGTTAAGACTATTAAGTTTACAAACAGTTTTCATTTTTTTTTTTACTTTGTCTGAATGTGGGCACTCAGGAAGGAAATCCAAAATACCAGAATTTTCATCAATGTCTCTCAACTTCCTGGCAAATTCTACTTTGTCTACTTCACTTATTGTGGTTCTCATACGATTTGGCATTGGGTCAAATGAGTCAACCCAAGAGTCGTCAGAGATACATGTTTCCTTTTCGTTTGGGTTTCACAAGTGACAAATTTTCATTTCCAGCAATGGTAAGGGCTTATTTCTTGTGTTGGTTTTGGTTGCCAGTATGCTGGAAGTGAAGTCACTGAAGTTCTTTCACCTGACAAAAACTCTTCAAGTTCAAACATACAAGCACCCAAGTGCTTGCATCCCTGATCAGAACCTCCTTTACATTCACAAAATGCAGAAAACACAGAGCCATTTGGTGAAAGTATGAACCAGGATCTGTATTCTTTCATGCCTTCTGGTGTTTTGTCCCTTTGTGTGGGTAAAACACTGCCAATGACAATGTGAAACTTGCTATCATCGTTGTCATAGACAATAGTTCAGATAAATTCCTTACTTGACCATTTTGGTGTAATTTATAATCATCAAATGTTCTCCAAGATGCCAACATTTCTTTGTCATATTCTGCTTTACTAACTATTAAATGATTGAAAATGTCCAACAGTCCAAATGTTGGTAAAGCTGACATGTCATTTGATGTATGGGTCATTTTAAATGGATCTTGTAGGCTTTCCAGCAGGAAGTGTCAATCGTTCTTGAAAAGAATGCTCCAAGGAATCCATTGAAAATCAGGATCAATTGTAGTTTTGCCTCCTCAGTGGCTTCAGCTAACTTTATGAGATCGGATTTAAATAGTTTGTAGTTGGTACACCACGGTCACTGATATACTCTTTCAAATCTTTAACTTTCCAGTCTTTGAAATTATTTCTCTGGTGAAATTGCTCATCCCTGACAACTGTACTAGTGTCAACATTCTTCGCAATGTTTTCATTTGCAAGCTTTTCTTGTTTGGTTTCACAAAATATGGTTTTATGTTTAGATAGACAAGATGTGTTTTTGGGTTTGGATTTGCGGGATATTGTTTTAGGTTTTGATGGGGAAGGTACCGTTGTGGTTTTAAGTGGAGATGATTGGTCATTAGAAAGAGATGGTTCTTCCTTAAGTTCAAGATCAACCAACACAGGTGGCTGGTATTCATTGGCAGGTATTGGGGCAAGACAACAACTATTGATGGGTTGCAAAAGATTGAAATGGCAAGCAGCTCTGTGAAAGTTATGCAAGACCAAAGTGATTGGACAATCACAGATTCTATCATATTTTAACAATGGACGTAACACCAGGCGAGGAGTGAAATAAAACCATTTCTGTTCAAGCATAAACACAAATTTCATGCTGCAAGGCCGTGGCACAAGCGTACATATCCACTGTTTCTCCCCACGTACCGGACATAATGCTTCGCTCCAGATGCTTTTCTATCGATTCGTATCGAAATAAATACGGTCGAAAAGTAGCCGGATTTTGTACTAAAAACTTCGTTACACATTTCTCGAATGTGAGCAAAGTTTTCGTCGCTTTCACCGTTTATAGCCAACGCAACTGCTCGATAAAAGCAATTGCCGTCTCCACATACTTTACTTTTTTCTCCCAACTGGTAACGAATACCCATTACAACGAATAGCCATTATAATGGAAATAGGTGCTTTAAATTAAGAATTCTGAAAAATATCACTATTACAGATAAATTTCTAAAGAAATGTTTGCCCCCTGGCGATCCCAAAATGCATTGCAAAAACCGCGCAAATTTAAGGGAGACTGGCAACCGGCAAATACTCCATTGATGTGGAACAAATTTATAATGACGTGCATAACATCACACTTAAAGATATTATTCCGTTCAAAATTTTGGCACTCAAGAGCTACAAGGCGTCGTGGTAAGAACATGTAGTTCGAAAAAATTGGACAAGATCACAGAAAGGCGACAAGGATAATGTAATAAAAAGATTTGTGGTTGTGCAAAGGAAAGGCACTTTCTGGAAACCACGATAATCGTCAATTTGTGCCCATCGCGAAAAGACGGCAAGATATTTAGACAAAATACTACGTGGAAGGCAAAATTTCATTAACTTTAATGTTGAGGAAGAAATAGTAATGATATGATGATTGAAAGGGACGTTCGACATAGATTGCACGCAATATATATAAAAGAAACTTTCAAAAGTATTACAACGACGTCTACCGGAAAAATATGTTGTCAATCAAGTAATCCTATCATATCTAAGCATTGTAAAAGCATACTGCTGTTAAAGAAAATATCACATCGAATGCCAGCATAACGCTACAGAGGAGATAATGCTGAACGTAGTCAGGATTATACAATGGATTCCTCTAACTGCTAACTTTCTCGACACAGTATTAAGAGGTGAATGTAGCTGAGTCGTAAAATATGTCGTCAAAATGAAAATTGTGAAAACGAGGTTGATATGTTTTAAATATCCATAAGCTCTTTGTACCCCGTTCTTGAAACCTTTCGAAGATGTCAGTTTTGCTAATAACTGATGCATAAACGTCGATTTACTAATGTGTCATCCTCATCTTTGACTGCAACAAGTGTGCTTCGATTAATCAAACTAATACTGACAGTATTTGCTGAAGAATTCGTTATTGCATGACCATGAAACGTGCTACATATGTGAACATTTTTATACAGACATTGTAGTTGTCTGTGTTTTTGATAAAACTTATCCTTGGCTATTAACTGTTGCAAGTATTCCTCGTGTATGACAAAATTTAAATTAATATATGTCATTTATACAGCGCTTACACTCTTTATACACCTTATTTTTAAGATTACAATTTTTAGTTTGTTGCATTCTTTTTAGCTTGAAACTTATCAATAATCTTGGTTTATTGCTTTTAAACAGATTTTTTTAAAATTAATTACTACAAACGTAGGAACGCTACATTAGATCTTTTTGATAGCCAACACCAAACCAACAGCTTTCGATATGCCCAGTTATTTACACTTTCAATTAACGACTTCACTTTGATGGTTTGTAATCAAAGATAACCTCCAGAATAACCAATGATTTTGGCTGCTGGTTATGAGCAGAAAAGTTTGCTTGAATAAAAAATGTCATGAATGATCAAATATTGCCTACCATGTGCAGTTAATTCACATATCTTTACGAGTTTCGTTGTTTGCCAATAGAACTCAGCACAACGGTAATCAAATGCTACGCTAGATAAATTTAATCAAACTTTTGTAGTTAGAACGTCGGATGAAAAGCACCCACCGAAGAAAAGGAAATCTGTAAAATGTTTATAAGGAAGAACGTGTCTTTGCTTTGGCCAACGAAACAAACATATATGGTGTATCTATTAATTTTTATCGTTTTGTAAAGCCCACGAGTGCGTAAAATAGTGTCAGCTACGTGCATGTATTACATATCTTTGTTACAAACACAAGATGCATCTGCTACTGGGACTTTAACATGACTTCTAACAACAAATTTGAAAAAAAAATGCACCAAGGGATGACATCATCATTGCCAAGTTGAAGAAAGGAATTCGCTTAAGATTCATGTCGAACTATAACATTGTTAGACAAGTCATGTTCTATGGACGAAAACATGTCGTGTAGTGATGTAAACTTGATGTCACCAACATATAATGTTGTGAGCCCTTAAAAGATTTTGTGCATGTTACCGTTGTATGGCAACAACTTTTTGAAATTTCGTTCACGCCGTCTTTTCACAATGTCGTTCACATTGTCTTCTTGAAATGTCATTCATGCCGTCTTTTGGAAATACTGTTCATGTCGATTTTTTTAAAAGTTGTCGGAAAATCATAATTGTAAAAATAAGGGGTACATAGAATTTAAGCGTTTTAAAAATTTTATATAATCTTGGTTAGGTCATGTATGCTTCTATGACTAAACTATAACGAGAGACAAAAACAAATAAACAATATAAAATGTCAGGCATTGCTATGTGGTGATTTAGGACGACAAAAAGCATGTTCATATTTAATTTGGGGAAAAAAAAATTGAACTCAACCAATGGCAAAGATAGAAAGAAAACTGTAATTCTGATGTAGGTATTTACTACACGATTGTCAGCTGAACAAATGGTCTTGATTTTGCGTCTAAAGTAACCTTAATTGTCTGCTTTCAAACAAAATCAGAAATGACATAAATATTTAAAACCGTCCAATTAGAATATGTTAAAATGATAAATTCACAAAGAGTTAAAATTTTCACTAACTACAGACTAAATTTTCAAAAATAAAATTTTCTAGGTCATATCAATAGCCCAAACGAACTTTTGACGTCTTATTGTAAATTTTCTCAATAGGGACATCGTTCTTCAGACACCTAAAGTATACATTTATAGTTCAAGAACTCAAGTTAACATCCAAACAATAAATAAACTACGATTTTTAATTTCAAAATGATGGATATGAAGATATTTGTATGTTTGTAAATGATGACATCATTTACAAACATATAACGATACTCCCGGGCTCAAACCATTTACTTTATTAAGATATTTGTATCTTACCAAGCAATTGATTATCTTGGATCAAGATAATTTAACTTGGATGTCCAAAAGAGCAATTTCCTATTTTCATTCTAATCAACAACAGCAGAACATTGTGAAGACAACAATAAATATGAATGGCCAAAAAATATTTTCAAAGTGGTTTTTGGAATTTTATAGAAATATGATATTTCATTTTGTAATACAAAGTCAATAGAAAAGAGCTTCTCAGACTTTGTTTTATAATGCAACAGTGATGACTAACATCCACAATAAAGATTGATATACTAAAAGACTGGACATATAAGTGATTTAAAAGTGCGTGCTAACTTAAGCAAGAAAAGGATACACTAGTTAATAAGTAAACTATTTATTAGTGTTGTGTAACTATATCTATTGTTTTACCACTTTGTCCGATGATGTTACCTACATTGAACTATTTTTGCCAGTGACCATTCCTTTATGACTTTACAATAATGTAAGGACGATTATGAGCAATTTGTAATGTCTGAATGTTTTGATAAAAAAATATTTTGACGCCACTTTATTACGAAATGATTCGTATTAATGAAAATGATGAGAGAAAACGCTGTTTGATAAGATTTTACAGTTGTGAAAATTTGTAGCAAGCACAGTGTGACCATACATAAGTAATTTATTATAAAACGCGTTGATCTGTCAACTGCTTCCCTGTTTTAATGATGTAAATCATTTTTTAAAAAACGACAGTATTTTCAAAATTTTTTTTAGCAAACATGTTTTAACTTAACTACAACTCATCTTCAGTGCAAATGTGTAATTAATTTAATTACGTGCAGATTACACGTTTTCTTCATAAGAAAATGAAGTCTTATCTATTCATTCCTATTGTCTTTAATGCATTTAGCATATGTAAAATGCAAGGTCAAAACCTGTGACATTGCATGCCTAATTATATTTATATACTGTAATGACGTAGGTAATTCCTTATTTAATATGCATGTGTAATGTATATAAGAACCTGTGTTTATCTTAGCCCGGCATTAAATACAAGACTTATTACAAGGTGGTAGCGATTAGGAAAAGTTTGTTCTTATCGAATGGCAGAAGGATTTTCTAGGCCAACGACTCTCGTTGAAGGCAACGTTGCTGAGAATTGGCGTCGCTTCAAACAGAACTATAAAATATACATTGTTGCTGCAGGACATAGTCGGAAATCAAAGAAAGAAAAGTCATGCATCCTCTTAAATCTAGCTGGCGAAGATGCGGTTGAAAGATATAATTCTTTTACCTACAACGAAGAGGAAGACAAAGACGATCCAGAAATTCTAGTGAAGAAATTTGAAGAAATTTGTATGCCGCTTAAGAATTCAACATTCGAAAGACATTTATTTCATACAAAGGAAGCAAAGTCCGTCAGAGTCGATTAGTTCCTTTGTTACAGATTTGAAAAACATTGCTCGAAAGTGCGAGTTTGGTGACCTCGAGAGCGAACTTATTAAAGATCGTATTGTGTGTGGGATTAACAGTGATGCAGTAAGAAAGATTCTCCTTCGCGAAACAAGTTTAACTTTAGACAAGGCTCTAAACATATGCAGTGCAAACGAATTGTCGGAACAACAAGTAAAGATCTTACTAATTATCAAGATGTCGATGAACTGAAGGCTAGGAAGAATTTGAAAACCTCAAGAGGAAGTTACACAAACTTAAGTCAAACAAAAGAAGATAAACATCGAGGACAAAGATTCGTATTAAAGAACAATTGCAGAAACTGTGGAGGAAAACATCTTCCAAAGCAATGCCCAGCTTTTGGAAAAATTTGCCACAAATGTCATAAGAAAAACCACTTTGCTCGGGTGTGTCTAACGTCTACACAAAAGTCACAAAGAACAGTTCATGAAGTTAGTGATGAAGAATTGTTTATTGGTGCTGTTAATGCAATCAAACCTACGCAACAACGCACAAGCTCGAAAGTCGACTATCGAATGAATATTGAAGCTGTAGAAAAGCAATGACGAGTGGTATTCTGAACTCAAATTTGGCAGACATTTGGTGAACGTGAAGGTGGATACAGGCGCAAAATGTAATGTGCTTTCTAAAAAATTGTTCGACAAAGTCACAGAAGCTGAGCAACAAGTTACCAAAACAAATACAAAGCTAATGTCGTATAGTGGAGATTCAGTTCAAACCTTGGGACAAGCAGTGATGACGTGTTCTTACAAAGACAAACGATACAATCTTGTTTTCTATATAGCGACACACGATGTAAAGCCTATTCTTGGTTTACCTGATTGCGAGCGTTTGGGTATGGTGAAAAGAATTCCAGATGTCAAATCTATTTTCACTAGCGACGATATTCTCAATGAATATGCAGATCTCTTCGATGGCAAACTAGGATGTTTACCCATTAAACATCATATCAGTGTCAATCCAAATGTAAAACCTACAATTCATCCTTCTCGACGCGTTCCAGTAGCTATGAGAACAAAAATTAAAGAAGAGTTAGAACGAATGCAACAGATGGGTGTCATCGATCCTGTAGAAAAACCAACGGTATGGGTTTCGTCAATGGTAATAGTGGAAAAACCAAACAAGTTAGGAATATGTATTGATCCTAGACATCTTAATCAAGCCATTTAGCGAGAACATTACCCTCTCTTAACAATAGAAGAAGTCGTATCAAGACTACCACGAGCTAAAATTTTCTCCGTATTCGATGCAGCCTCTGGATTTTGGCAGATACCTCTAGATGAAGATTCCAGTTATCTTACAACAATCAATACGCCTTTTGGCAGATACAAATTCAATCGTCTCCCATTTGGTATATCCTCAGCACCTGAAGTGTTCCAAAAAGCTATGCACCAGTTGTTTGACAGAATAGACGGTTGTGAAATTATAATGGATATCTTAGTATGGGGAAAAACAGAGAAAGAGCATGATGAAATAATTATCAATGTGCTGAATAGAGCTCGTTAAATCAATCTCAAATTAAAGAAAGAAAAAACAAAAGTCAAAGTAACAAATGTAGATTACATGGGACACAAAATAACGTCAGATGGTCTTCAATCCGATCCTGAAAATATTAAAGCAATATTAAACATGCCAATTCCTAAAGATAAGAAAGATCTTCAAAGATTTCTTGGAATGGTTCAATATTTGGCCAAGTTTATTCCTTATCTTTCAGAAATGGCAAGTCCCCTCAGAGATATGTTAAAGAAGGAAAATGATTGGTGCTGGTTAGATCAACATCAAATAGTGTATGACAGAATCAAGAAATCCTGTGGAGAGCATCCTGTATTGCAATTCTACGATGTATCAAAAGATGTGACATTGTCCGTAGATGCAAGTATGTCAGGTTTAGGAGCAGTTTGTCTTCAAAATAGCAAACCAGTTGCTTATGCATCGAGAGCTTTAACTGAATGCCAAAAGAAATATGCACAAATTGAAAAAGAATTACTTGCAATTGTATATGGATGTTAAAAATTTCATGATTACATCTATGGCAGAGATGTCAGTGTTGAAACAGATCATAAGCCCTTAGAGCAGATTTTCAAGAAGCCCTTCATCAATCTCCATTGAGACTCCAGAAAATGTTGCTGAAACTTCAAAAGTACAGTTTGAAAGTCTCGTTTAAGAAAGGAGCAGAACTTTATCTCGCGGACCAATTAAGTCGAGCGTATATCCAAAAAGAATCAGATGATCACTTAGAAGATTTTGAGATAAATGTTGTCTTTCCAGTAAGTGAAGAAAATGAACCAATTGAAGGAAGAGACAAAGAAAGATAAAGCAATGAAAATGCTACGACAGTACGTAGAAAATGGATGGCCAGATCTACGCAGTAAAGTCGATTTGGATGTTTTGAATTACTGGGACTTTAGAGAGACTCTTTCAGTACAAGATGACCTACTGTTTAAAGGAGATCGAGTAATAATTCCTGAGTCATTAAGAACTGATATGTTAAAAGCTATACATCAAGGGCATTTTGGATCTGAATCATGCAAACGTAGGGCTCGAGATGAAAGTACTAACAACAGTAATATAAGAACTCGGTATGGACGCCTAATCAAAAAACCTAATAGATATTCTTATTAGAAAAAAATAAGTTTAAAAAACATTTATAGTGTGAAATTATTTAAAAACCGAAGAAAAGAGATGTGACATTGCATGCCTAACTATATTTATATACTGTATTGAAGTAGGTAATTCCTTATTTAATATGCATGTGTAATATATATAAGAACCTGTGTTTATCTAAGCCCGGCATTAAATACAAGACTTATTACAAAACCGATCTTGAATTATTGCATTAGCAAATGAAATTCCAGTCAATCAACATTAGATATAGGCCTTTTTCTTCCTTAAAACCAATGGTTTACAAATAATTTGTGTTTTAAATTTGTAGATATAAAGATTGGATTTCAAATTAATTTTCTGAGGACGGCGACAAGTCCTTGGTTTTCTTGGAGTAAAGTGCTTATACGAGTTGCAGGACAAAGATGTAATGAGGTCAACTTGCATGGAGTTGAAGAGTTTTCTCAAAAATTGAAATTTGAGGACGTTTCTTTACGCCTGTTGATTCAAACGCATTGTTTGAATTTCTTTCTGAATGTGAACATTTAACAGGTCTTTCTTTTGACGATTGCAGGTTTTTTGATAATCATAGCTGTCTTCCAATGAAAAACTGTTTGTTAAATGTAAGAGCGGAAATTTCAATTTATTTAGGCTTTATCTATTGTAAGTTTGGAAAATACTTTTGGAATCATCTTAGTAAAGCTTTAAAGAGTGAGAGTTTGTAACTTACTAAGTTGGATATAAGTGTTAGCAAAATAATTGAGGAGGGTGCTAAATATTTTATGAATCTTTAAAGAGAGAGAATTGTAAGCTTACAAATTAATTATCAGTGGTAACAATGTAAGTAGTCAAGGTGGGTGCTAAATATTTTAACAAAGATTTGAAGAATTGTAAACTTACTGATTTATACATCGGTAATAACAGAATAGGTGACCAAGGTGCTGAATTTCTTACTGAAGCTTTAAGAAGTAAGGATTGCAAGCTTACTGATTTAAATTTCGGTAATAACAGTATGGATGAACATGGTGCTGAATATCTTAGTAAAGCCTTGAAAAGAATTTTAAGCTTAATATAATGATTATTGAAGAAAATATTTTTATCTATCAGGGGGGTAAATATTTTAGTGAATTTTGAAAAGTGAGAATTGTAAACTTACTGAATTAAACATCGCTGGTAATAGTATACGTGATAAAAGCGTCAAATATCTTAGTGAAGATTTAAAATGAATAGGTTTGATATTTGACTCATCTGTCACAATGACAAATGTTGTTCAAAACTTCCGCGCACACTAGGAAATTTTGTCGATCACACTTGTCACGAATAACAAGTACGAGCGGCAAGTTTACCAGTGTATGGCGGGCTTTAGTGTGAAGTGTAATATTTTTAGCTGATCGTTTGTTTGTATTGTGAATAATTCGTTTGTAAGGTTCCGGTAATTGCTGTGATCTGTTCAGGGGGGTTTGTTCCAAGTTGGTATACCAACTTTCTAATGTAAGCCGTTGTCTATAGTCAGTACTGTAAGTAATTCATTTTGCCGAGTCCCAGTCAATGTTGTGCTTTGTAAGTAGGTGATGATCGGAAGGGTGATTAGTTTTTTCTTGTTTCTTTGTAGCTTGTTTGTGTTCAGTAAGTCTTATGTTTAAGTTACTGCCAGTTTCCCGGATATAGGAGGCGTGGCAGTCGGAGCAGTTTATTTTGTAAACTGCACCATTTCGTTCGTTGGTTTCTTCTTTATCCTTTATGTTCTTTAGTACTTGTTGTAACGTCGTAACTTGCTGCTGCAAGGATTTTGGTCTGGTTCCGGCAGGACTTAGAATTAAGTCCCTGTTGAACACACAAGAGGGTAGGCAGATTGTCAAATCCACCAGCAGAGGACTGATACGAGCACGGATTAACGACTGTCACAGTAGAATCAACTATTACATCAAACAACAAGAACAAAGACTGAACAAACTGAAGGAACTCATACTAACGACAGTAAGTGATACTTTACTTTCTACGATACAAACTATTGCAGAGAAACGAGCAAACAAGACAAAGACATCACAACAAATCAAAAAACAACAAAAGCTCGAGCGTTTAAAACGCACTAAAACACGTACAAACAAACATGACGATAACTGGGTGAGGAATATTTCTTCCCTCTCATTAGACGAAACTGAAACACGCCTACTATCTTACGGACTAAAACATTCCTTAACATATGGAATGCTTTAGTCAGTAAAATACTGTCTAAGATGATGGTATCAATTGTCAAGGCTGTCCTAGCGTAACAAAGAAACTTGTCAGAGACAACCAAAGACGAGATTAGAAGCAAGGTAGCCTCCTCTTTACAATCGTCCTCTATACGTGACAACAACTTGACAAAAGACGAGCAACAAGCACTCAAACGACTAAAACACGACAACAACATCGCATTTCACCATCAGACTAAGACGCGTACTGTGAACATGGACAGGAATGATTACTTCGACAAAATGGACACCCTTGTTAACGACAGACAAACGCACGAAAAACTCAAACGAGACCCAACACCATCACTAGTACGCAAACTTAAAAACAAGATCATCTCTATGAGAAAATCTAACATTATATATGAACGTATTTACTATTGACTTAAATGTTCACCTCGACGACCACCCAGACTATACGGACTACCAAAATTTCACAAACCATAAATACCCATTCGACCAATTGTATCATTCAGTGGTTCGCCCACTTACGAACTCTCAGAGTACTTAACTGATATACTGTAACCACTTACAAACAAATCAAAACACAAGCTACAATTAACTAAAACTTTCATTAAAAAACTGAGCACTTTACAAATACCGGACAACTATATTCTAGTGTCTTTTGATGTGAAATCACTATTCACAAGTATTCGACTTAATCTGGCACTTACTTGTACAAATCCCTCATTACAAACACCATGGACGTACTGCTATTACCGACAGAAGTTATTATGGAGCTACTGGAGCTCTACCTCACTTTGACTTACTTCAAGTACTAAGGTAAACACTACAAACAATTACATGAAACAGCAATGGGCTCACCCAACACACAATGACCGACTACTAGACAAATTATCTTACAACCCTGCATCACACAAGCCACCACAATCAGAACATTAACAAGACGTGCACAAATCGTATGTCATTCACCGGACGCTCTACATAACGAAAAGAACTGTCTCAAACGTGTTTTTGATAACAACTATAACTCTGACTCCATCAAACGCAATACTTACAAACCCAACGAGCCAACGAAACGAACAACTCAGTGACAACAGCAACGATGCCTTACATCAAAGGTGCGTCTGAGACTATCTCGCGTATCTTACGACCATACAACATACGTGTCGCACATAAACCAATCACAACGTTACACAAGTACTAACGAACATAAAGGACAAAGAACAACCTAACGAACGACAAGGTGCAGTTTACAAAATAAACTGCTCCGACTGCCACTCCGCCTATATCGGGGAAACTGGCAGGAGCTTTAACATAACAGTTAGAGGTTCAATATACCATGTTTGTCCCATAATGCATATGCTGTTTCTCTTC